ATTTAAATGTTAATAAAGCGCATTATTTGAAAAATTCAAAATATAATTTAAAATACGCACAAGTCAATAAATTCAAGTAACACTATTTAAATGTCTCAAAATGTTACACAATGTTAATTATTTTTTTTCTTTTTTATTTATGCATATCACAACTCCTCTATATTTAGCCAATTTTTGTCCAGGACAGTGTATTTTTTGGGAGCCAAACTTTGAATTGGCTAAATTTATAAAAACATTCGGTACTTTTCCATCATACTCCCTTTAATCTTTCGTTTTACATAAGCAGTTGATCATTAATTTTGTTCAGAATCATCTCATCAATCAAATTTTAGTCGACGAGCTCTTTAAGCTAATTTGTTTTCTCACCCTAAATATCAGCTTACTCCCCCCCATGGTTTTTCAATTTTCGGAGACCTACATATATCGGTTTATAGGCATTTCAGATCAAAGAGAATGATACCATTCAACTGGGATCCACGAGACGAATCGAAAGATTTATAAATTGAAACATGTCAAAAATACATCCTAAGAATTTGCGGGCGTATAACAGAAAATCTAAAACATTTTCAAGACCCTTTCCCAATGGACCCGATTGAAACAGCTCTAAATAATGTTAATTAATTTATTAATTTTTTGTAATTATGTAAATCAATGTTTACTTTATTTGTGATAGGATTTGTTGTGAAAATATTTTTTGAGAGCCGAACTCTAGATTTGGCTAAATTGTGTTACTTTATTCATTTTTGGAATGCTTCTCGACTGGATTATGTCGACTTTTAATTTTTCAATAAGATTTAAAGAAATTAAATCCTTTTTTGTTAAGAGGAAAATGAGAAAATGAACGTGATAAAAAATCAGAAAAAATTAAGCAAATGAGGCGTTCTAAGGATTAGATAAAGAAAGGCAATTCATAAACATTTTAGTATAAAATTTAGCCAAAAACGGAGTTTAGCTCCCAAAAATATACGCGCTGGCGAAAGCTGAAAAGACAAAAAAATGAACAACGATATTAATAAATAGAAAAAAAAAGAAAATAATCAACATTATTTAAAACCAATAATCAAAGCCAAAAATTATCTTTAAATAAATCATTAGAAATTATTTAAACAGAATTGGAATGTATCAGAATTAGGGTGCTGAAGAGCGGATATTTAACCGGAACAAAACACGGCATGCAGTCTCTCGACGAAATACCGTCCGCGAAACCAGCTCATATCAAAATTACAATACCATCCGAACATAAAAATTTTCTTTGAACGGTATTTTGGTAAGGACGTCTTTATTTTTACATAAAAAATTCTATTTTAAAATGATTTAATAATATAGTATACACTACTGCTCAAAAGTAATGATCCCTGTGTATGAAAATTTTTAAAAAGTGATTATTTTGACATGGAAAGTGTAAATGTTTTACTTCCTTCTTAATAATTAAAACTCACAATTTTAAGGTACTTCTCACATAGAAAATTTTTCCAAAAATTCCAACCCAATGAATTTCCCTCAACTTTAAATGAATACCCCTATTTTTAGGATGGACAAAAGTAATGATCCCTATTTACAAAATACGTTTAATCATTAAGAAAAAAATCCACAAAATTTTTAGTAAAGGTGTTTAGTCATAAGAAGTTAACATATGAAAAGATTGGTCCAATATCTACTCTTTTCTTGAGATATTGACATCTCGATTTCAACGAGAAATAGGGGTAAGTTATTTCAAAAATTATTTTTATCTTTTTGATATATGAATTGTTTACACTTTTATGCTTGACTAAAAGCCAATAAAATTTGCTACAAGATATAGTCGTTCAAATTTTCTGAAAAAATTTATCTATCGTGTTAAGGAGTGACAAACATACAAGGCGGCAAAAATCTCTCATATTACCCAATAAATGGTTCGTGTTGTATATTGCTTATTACTAGAGACCGGACTCGAGTGATCGTTCGATAATATCGATATCGAAAAATATCGACGATATTTTTCGATATTTTTTCCCGACGGGGGAAGTTGTACCAATGACCGGGGGAAGTTGTACCAATGACGGGATCCACCTAAATCCACCGAAATCCCACTATATCTCCATTGATCCCTTTATAGCCCTCGATATCCCTCTAATCCACCAATATCCCTCGATGCCACGTAAAAGTTCCTTGATCTTCACCTTAATCCCTCAAAATCCCCTTATATACCTCTTACTAATTTTAAATCCCATTAAACTATGGGGACTGATATACAAGGGAGACTGAACCGTGCAGATTGATGACTCAAGCAACTAGAGCCGGACCGGATCCCGGATCCGGAACCCGGAATTGGGACACGGACTCCTGAAAAAAAATCGAGATTTTTCGATATCGAGATTTTTCGAGATTATCGATCACGATCTCGTATCGGTCAAGTAAGAAATATCGCGAGATTTTTCGATATTTCGATATTTTTAAAAAAGATTTTTCGTGATCAGTATTTATAAATTTGGCGTTTTAATTATTATTTGTTTCGATTATCAAAAAATTACTTTCATATATTTATTAGAGGTCGGCGCGGGACGGGATCCCGACGGGATTTTCCGGGATCCCGATCCCGGAATCCCGGATTTTTTTGATTTTCGGGATCATTCGGGATCCGGGATTTTTTCGGGATTTATTCCTCGGGATCCCGTCCCGGCAGGCCCGTAGCCAGGGGGGTAGGGGGGAATTCCCCCCCCCCCCCCCCCGAAATGGGGATAAGAGAAAATGTGAACACAATATGTGAAACTTTCGGCAATCCCGGAGAATAGGGGTTTATTCGAAAAAAAAGTTTAAAAATAAGAAAAAAAATTTTTCTAGGGTAAAAAAATATGCTGATTACGAATATGAGCTCGGATTTTGAAAAAGTCGTACCCGAACCCGAATATAGGTCCTACAAAATCGAAAAACCATAGGGGGGACCAAGCTGATTCTGCGGTGAAAAATTCGAATATGCAAATTATACCTCATTCGAAAGAGCTCGACGAGCTGAGTCGAATGACACCAAAATCACCGTGATTGAACAAAATCGGACGAAGTTATACCACAAAAAACAAACAACGTAGACCTATGTTTTTTGTATTGTAACTTTGTCTGTTCTTGTTCATTCACGGTGATTTTAGTGTCATTCGACTCAGCTCGTCGAGCTCTTTCGAATGAGCAAATTGCGCTTTGTGAATGACCAATTTGCGCTTTGTGAAAATTTTCCAAAATGTCGAATGTCCGAATTCGGGTTCGGGATTCGACTTTTTCAAAATCCGAGCTCGGATTCGTAATCATCATATTTTTTTACCCTAGAAAAATCCTTTTTCTTATTTTTAAACTTTTTATTCGAAGAATTCCCTATTCTCCGGGATTGCCAAACTTTCTACGTTTTCCTTTATTCTATTATGGAATTTATTCTTAATAAAGAAAAATAAAGTATTGAATCGAATTTCTAGAAAATGGTTGTTATATACCAAAATATGAGGTAAAATTAAGTAAATACTAAAAGAATTTTACAAATCAGAACTCTAGATTTCTATCATTTTCGCGGGAATAAAATAAAAGTATTTTATCATTTTTTCATTAGTAGATTGATTCTAATCTTATACTACCAAGACAATTACAATCATATAATTACAATCATTGAATTTTAATCATATAAGTTCTTTTCTTGTTTTTCAAACTTGCTTGATTTTTAGTAATATTGAAATTTTTAGAAGTATATGATTTTTTATATCTTTAGCTTTACCCTGTGGGGTACAATTATGATAAGTAAATTTTCCCCTTAATTTTTGTGGGGAAAAAATTTTTTTGTCAAATCTGAAACTAATTTTGTCAAGGTAAATTCAACCGGGTATCAATATAAAGCTTAGTCACCCGCGGGATTTCTGAAATTTCCATTTCTTCATTAAATTTAAATTTTACAGAATATAAATCCTCAATTATTATCACCAGTTAATTTATGCTAAATAAATACAAAATGTTGGATCCAGATTTTAAGATTATTTATTATTAATTCTTAAAATATTATTTCCGTTTATTTTTAATGAACTTCCCCTTTATTTAAACTATTCCCTCAAAACATATTTTAAATGTTCCTTTCCATTTTATCAGTTTACAACATTCCCCCAAAAACATTATTTAAACTTATTTATCTTTATAGTTTCTTATCAACCTTTTCCTTAACCTAAATTATAAATAGTTCAAACTTGTAAATACTTCACCTCTCTTTACTTCCCGCCCTTTATCATTTATATAAATAGTTTTTCTATTTCTAATTTTTGTTTTAGTTTGAACTAGTCTTTCGTAAATAAAAAGTTTAATTTATTAGTTTATTTAATAAGATCCTCATTAAATTGAGAGAGTTTAAACTTAATAAATATATTGAGATCGGGGACATAACACTGGTGCCACGACCCGATTAGTTTTTAAGAACTAGACGGAGAAAAAAAAGGATTTTGGTGAAATATCTTTTTGTGAGATTTATTGCTTTACATTTCGCTTAGTGCGTAAAAAAGACTTTGTGCCATAGCTGTGTGCTGAAAAAGGCTTTGTGCCATAGCTGTGTGCTGAAAAAGGCTTTGTGCCGTAGCTGAGTGCTAAAAAGGCTTTGTGCCGTAGCTGAGTGCTAAAAAGGCTTTGTGCCGTAGCTGAGTGCTAAAAAGGCTTTGTGCCGTAGCTGAGTGCTAAAAAGGCTTTGTGCCGTAGCTGAGTGCTAAAAAGGCTTTGTGCCGTAGCTGAGTGCTAAAAAGGCTTTGTGCCGTAGCTGAGTGTTAAAAAGGCTTTGTGCCAGAAATTGATCAGAAAAGAATAAAAATTTTAGGATTTCTGTGTGAAATCCTGCTGTGTGCATTTTTGTGTTCTCTTTGTGTCTCGCTGTGTCATTGAATTTTTGTGTGAAATTCTTAATTTTTCGTCTATTAGACGGCTGTGTGTATTTTAAAGAGTCTGTGTGCCAAATCCACCGTGTGATAGAAATTTTGGATTTTAAAGTGATTTAATAAAAAATTTTTGTAATGGACCCATTCGTAGGAAATGGAGCATTTATTGGCAATTTTGATGGAAATCCCACTAGATCGTTTACAAAATGGGTGGAAAAATTTAAAGATATTTTGTCTTTAATGACTGAGCCTACTGAGGTACAAAAATTAGCCCGCTTGCGTTTTTGTTTGTCCGGGCAAGCGCGAATCACATATGATAATATTAATCCCGCACCTACGACCCTAGCGGAGGCTATTGCTTATTTGAAAGGTAAATACGAGAATAGAAACACTAAAGTAATTGCACGCCAACTGTTGTCAAGTTGTAGACATGCGCCTGGCGAATCTGTTTTTGAGTTTGCGAACCGACTTTCGGAGACAGTCCGTACAGCCCTTTCAGGAGAAAATGAGGAGACAATTAAAAGACGCCTCTTGGATGAATTTCTCGATAGACTTTTACCTGAGCTTCAATTTGAGGTAAAAGCCCAGAGACCGACTGATTACGCTATTGCTTATGAAACAGCGCAGCACTATGAGTTGCTACTTGCGGCTAGGAAATTCAGTCAAGCTTCAGATAAAAAATTAGCTGAAAAAGTCGAAGCCTTGCCAATTCAAAATACAAAAAATTATAGCAAAGACAATAGAAAATGTTATTACTGCAAGAAAAAAGGCCATCTTGGCCAATAAAGGCCAATAAACCGAAACCGAAAACCGGGGGTCAAAAACCGGCGAAAACCGAAAATCGGTGGCCTAAACCGACCGGTTTTTCGGTTTATAAAATACACCCCTAAGGATGGAATTTTTTGGAAATTTTTCGGTCATTTGAGTTCACAAAACACATCTTGCCAAAATATTTTTCTCAAATTGTTTTCGATAAATATAATTTTTTTAATTCTCCTATATCAGGATGTGTATGTATGGTTGATAGGTTAAGTTGATTGGTTAAGCTTTTGTCTTAGTGTTTGGTTCGAATCACAGAATAGTAGTATAAGGGATTTATGTTTCTCAAAAAATAAATATTTATCGTTTAAGATTTAACTTTTATTTTAAACATTCTCAAAAGTTTTGTAAGCGCTGCTAAAAAGGAATAAATCTGTTTATTGGCCTTTATACTTCGGTGCCAAAAACTGAATTTTTTCGCCTCCGGCCTTCCAAAATTCTCAAAATTTTCGCCTGCCGCGCTAACAAGAAGAAATATGGCTTCTTGTCTTTCCAAAATTCTAAAAATTTTCGCCCTAAGGCTCCCCTAGCCTTTGGGTTCGGGATCGCCGGGGATCAGGGTTTGAGGTCATGTCGTTGAGGTCATGTCGTCTGTCGTCGACTATTTCTTATAAAAAAGTAATTAATATTTTTAAATATATGAATTCTTGGCTAATGCTCTTTCAAAATTTAAAAAATTTTCACCTTCGGCGCAAGAACAGGAAGAGATTAACAAAAAATACATACACATATCAGTCCGGTCTACTGTAGATGTTGGTTCGCTCCCAGCCGCCGAATAACCACTAGCTAAAGGAGAGAAATAGATATAGCCCGCCTTACTGCATTTTAATTGATTAAAATAAGAACTGAATATTCTGGATAAAAAATTCAAGCATAAACCGGTTTCGGTTAACCGAAAACCGGGGGTCGTAAACCGGTCAAAACCGAAAACCGGGGGTACCGGTTAATAACCGGTAGTGATCAACCCTAGTCTAAATTTTGATTAAGTAATAATTTACAAAATATGTATTAATAAAATAAAAGCTTTAAAATAAAAATGGTAGATGTACAACAATGATTCTGGCAAATATTTCAATCGTGTCACAGACAGAAGACCCAAGGACAGAAGACCCACAGACAAAAGACCCACAGACAGAAGACCAACAAGGACAGAAAACCCACAGACAAAAGACCCACAACTTTTTAGTTTTCCTTTTATTTTCCATAAATTTTTTCGCGAGGAATGGTGTTAGTTCTATTTGTTTTTCATATCGGTGGATTTGCATAATAATAGGTTGATCCAACAACGGGAAAGTTGTTTCAATATTAGGGAAGGTTGTTCCAACAACAGGGATGTTATTTTAACAATGGGGAATTTTGTTGCAACAACGGGTGAAGCTGTTCCAACGATGGGAATATTATTGTCCCAATTACCGGGGAGCTTGTTTAACGAAGTGGGATCTTGATTTCCCAGATTTTCGGGATTTTGATCCGGAAAATCCGGTCCATGTGTCAAAAAATCAGATATAAAAAATAGTATAAAATAGCTAATTAGTCTTTCCAAATTCTCGAAATTCTTGTCAGTGACGATGAAAGGGAAAAGTAGATCAAAGGGATATTTATTATCAAGGGCATTTAGGATTAACTGGATTATAGCGAGAGTCAGTTTTGTCCAATGGAGGGATATAGAAGGATTAGAAGCGAACAAGGGTATTGGAGATATGCAAGGATATCAGGGATCTTTGGGATAGTATAGATTAATTATGTATTTCTGAGTAAATGGAGGGATATCGGTGGATATAAGCGGATTAGTGGAGTTATAAAATCTTAAAAAGTTGATTAACTTTAGAATTAATTTTGTGCCAAGAAAAATTGGAATTCTCTTTCAGAAATTTCAGGAAATTTTTCTAGAGTTTTAGTAAAAAAATTTTCTTGTGGGTCTTTTGTCTGTGGGTATTCTGTCCTTGTGGTTCTTCTGTCTGTGGGTCTTCTGTCACTACGCCATTTCAATTTTATTTTTTGGAAGCTATGAAAGATCATAGCTAAAATTATTGATATATACTAAGGTATTAAAGCTAATTAATTTAATCGGCTTAAGTATGAAGTAGCTATGTAAAGGGTTGAGATTAAAGTCAAGTCCAGTCTAGGTCGGATCAGTATAAAGGATATAAGGAGGATATAAAAAAAGAGGAGAGGGATTTGTGGAGGATATAGGTAGGACTTTGGGAATTATCAGGTATATAAGTTGATTTGAAGGGGTTAATGGGACTTGGAGAGGTTCAGGGTAATATAGGAAGCTATGAAAGATTATAGCTAAAAATGATAGATACATAATAGGGTTTTAAAGTTGATTAATTTAATCGGCTTAAGTAGGAAGTAGTGATTAGAAGGGATGAAACTAAAGTCGAGTCCGGTTTTGGTCGGATCAATATAGAGGGTATAGGGAGGACATGGGTAGAATCCGCAGATCGAAAAGACCACGCTATTTTTTCGCAATCCGCAACTGCATCCAGCCCTGCTTCTCACGCCTTTATACCGTCCCCGGTTTACCGCAAAATATGATAAAAGTGTAAGTGGAAGAAGAGTAAAAGCGGAATTCTATTTATCTAAAATCTATTCAAAAACTATTTTAGCCCATTTTTATTGGCTTGCAAAAAATAACCATCGTCGTCTCCATTTCTTGCCCTAATTAGATTTTTGTTTTTTTCTTTATAACATAATTAATGAAAATAAAAATATTGTCTTAAGTGATTTTCTACCTTCTGCAAGTTTGGGGGGAGGGCTTAATTATTTTTTTGATCGCATTAAATTCGAAAAAGTCCGTATTTTGAGGTAACAGAAGACTTCAAACGATTTGTGTTTAAAAGAATATTTCCCCACATTCACTCTATTTTCGTAAGCTAAGCTTTTGTTGTTTAAAATTTAATTACAATGAGATAACATTTAGCCTCGTAAAACTGCTTCAAAATTACAAACTTTTAGCCAAATCTTATGTTTGGCTTACAAAAATATCATCGATCAGTCGAGCGTCAATCACGCATCTGTTGACATATGTATTTTATTTAAAAATAATAAATTGAAATAATAAATATGGACAGAGGGCGCGAGGCTGTTTTCCACAAAATTTTTTTCTCTTTTTCTTTCAACATTCGTTCTTCCAGCAACCACGACATTTTTAATTTTGTTATTTGCATCGATCTATCTTTCGTGACTTTTTGTTGTTTTTATTTTTACATTTATTCGCGATAATTTTTATTGTTGGTGATTTGGGATAATTTTGATGCAAGTTCAAATTCTTCCTAAATGACTTTCAGTTTCTAAAATATTAATAAATTCTCTTACTTTTTCATTTATACATATTGTCATTCACTTTATATGCTTTCCTTTCATTTCGGGTTTTGTGTTTTTTTGGGAGCCAAACTCTAGTTTTGGCTAAATTACATATATTATTAAATCATTTTAAATAAAATTTTTTGTGAATACAGACGTCCTTACAAAATACCGTTCAAAAATCTTTTGTGGTCGGATGGTATTATAATTTGATAGGAGCTGGTTCAGCGGACGGTATTGTTTCGGGAGACTGTCGGACGATCTTTTGTCCGTTTAAATATCCGCTGTTCAGCACATTAATTCTGAGACAAATTTCAATTATTTTTAAATAATTTCTGATTTATTTAAAGCCAATTCTTGGCTTTAATTACTGGTTTTAAACAATGTTAATTATTTTCTTTATTCTTCTATTTATGCGTATCATTGTTCATTTTTTTGTCTTTACAGCTTTTGCGAATACGTATATTTTTGGAAGCCAAACTCCAGCTTTGGCTAAATTTTTTATACTAAAATGTTCATGAATTATCTCTCTTTATCTGTTCTTTGAATGTCTATGTAATTTTCTTAAAAACTTTTACTGATTTTTTGTTACGTTCATTTTCTCATTTTCCTCTACAAGAAAGGATTTAATTGGTTAAATTTCGGTATACAACACAGACGCCGATTAAGGCGATTGATATGTCATTCGAAAGAGCTCGTCGAGCTGAGTTGAATGACACCAAAATTATTTCGCGGAAAAGTCCATTAGGAAGAAGTGTCTTGAAAAGTTTTGCACCATTACCGTTATACGCCTGCAAATTCTTTGGATGTATTTTAAACATGTTTCAATTTATATAACTTACGATTCCTCTCGTAGATCCAAGTTGAATGGAATTATTCTCTTTGATCAGAAATGTCTGAAAACCGATATATATATGTCTCCGAAAATTGAAAAACCATAGGGGGTGTAAAAAAACTAAAATCAGCTTGATTCAATGATACTGAACAAAATGATGACCAATTGTTAAAGTAAAACGAAGGATTCGCGGGCGTGTAATGCAAATGTACCGACTGTTTTTCTAGATTTGGCCAAATTCAAAGTTTGGCTTCCAAAAATACACCATCGTTGTATTTTAGACAAAAAAGCGGAAGGGCTCGCACGAAGGGCGAGCCCTTAATTAAAAAATTTATAAAGAGCTCCAAAAATTACTCCATATGGATTGAGTATTTTAATGATTCAAACATAACAACAAAAAATATGTTTGAATCATTTAAATAGATTTAAACAGAGACTCGTCATAAATCTGGAAAACTGATAGAAACGTTAGTAAATGAGAAATATTAGTCTCTACTAGAGATCGATATTTTCAAAAATCCTGGATCTGGATTCTGGATTTAGTTTAGTAACCTAGACAGGATTCTTGATCTGGATCCAGGAAAAATCCAGATCCAGAAAAAATCCAGGATTTTTTTGGTCTGGATCCAGCCTGGATTTCTGGATTTTTTCTATATCTAATTATATACTTCTAAATCCACTGATATCCGCCTTAATCATTAGATATCCCTCCAAATCCTCTTATATCCCTGAAAGATTATCAATGGCTCACTTAATGCCCAAAATCCCTTGATATACCTACTAATCCCCAAATCACTAATATCCGTCTAAAACTTTAAATCAATTTATATTCAACTTAGTCCACCGATAACCCAATTATTTCCTTAAAATCCCCGTATTTTTCTCAAAATCCCCAGATATTCCTCTTAATTCCCATATATCTCAAGATATCCATCTTAATCCTTACAAATCCACCGGTATCACACTTAACCTTCAAAATCCCCAATGTCGCCTTTAAATCCTTTTAATCCGTTATGATCTCTTGAACCTCACAAATCCTCTGATATCGTTATTAATTTTCGCACTTCTACTCCCTCTATATCCTCTCATTGAGACTGACCGAGGTATATAAAATGATGACTGAACCGTGCAGACTGATATGAACTGCTCCGAAAAATAACGCCTTATTGACAAATGGTTCTTTGACAAAGGGTTGAGGAATTTGGTCGGTAAATCTACCATATCCCTGATAAATGGTAGCGCCTCAGGCAAAAATTTGAAAATTCTGAACGAGAGCAAGTACTTTGGGCTGCGGTATCTTAGGGTTTACCTTTCTGTTAGAACATTTAGCCAAATTTCTTTCGTTTCTAGCGCCGCAGGCGAAAATTTTGTGAAATTTGAAAGGGCGAGAAGTCAAATATTCTCCATTTTTTGCGCCGCAGACTCACTTTCTGGTCAAATTTAATCCAGAAAATCCAGACATAAAAATCGTCTGGATCTGGACTCTGGATTTAGGTTAGTACCCTGGACAAGATTCTGGATCTGGATCCAGGAAAAATCCAGATCCAGAAAAAATCCAGAACGATCAAAAAAAGCTTGACTCTGGATCCAGAAAAAATCCAGACTGGATCCAGATCCAGACCGATCTCTAGTCTCTACTATCGGGATATATAATCTTACATAAAGTACACTGAACAAAATGTTATTTGCATAAATATGATTGTTAGAGTTAAATCTAACATCCAAAAAATAATCATCACCAAGCTAATAAATGTTATAATTCAAATTTTTGCTTACATACTTAAAAAATAATTTAAGAACTAAAAATTATTAAGCGAACTAAAAAGCGTTTGATCTGTCCCGACTAGAAAATAATTTTTTCAACAATAAGTTATCGAGAGTATCAAAAACGAGGCTCGACTTTATCGTCAAAAAAGATACTCACCCGTTCAAATAAACAACAATAGCAGAATTGCTTCTCTGTGCAGGATAAACACCAATACTTGTATTTGTCATTTTTCCACTTGCAAAAATTGGAGGTGTTCTTGTAGAATTATTATTAGTAGCAGATTGCATTGCAGCATACGGTGCGTATGCAAGAAGCGACACTGCGGCACTGCAAGAAGTTGTTAGTATTGTACGTTGTTTTGAATCTGGACCTGTTTAAATTTGAAATTAAGGTTGATAGAAGAATTGTTTGAGTATTTGCAAGCTTGATTTTCTTTTTTAACTCCCCGAATGGAATCAACTCCACTAGCTTTTATCTATTTGTCAGATGAGATTTGAGTATAGCTTATTCGTGAAGCCTATTAGAATCTCCCTCAGTGAGACTCATTGAAAAATAAATCTGCTATCGTAAAAAAATTTGAGAATAATAGAGGAAATATTAAACATTGTAAAAAAGATGTAGAAATTAAATAAAATTGAAAAAATGGCTATCCTAAATTAATCAAAAAAATCATTCGAGTTAACCCAGATATTTTTTGCACAAATCTTTCTACGGATTTAGCCAATTATAGGATTGACTCCCAAAAATAAACGAGCAATGAAAGAGTTACAATATTAAGACGATAAGCAAAACTCTATAAATAATTATAACAATAGAAAATGCTATATTAATTAGGCAATTAGTTGTGAAGCTTATTAAAATTTCCCTCTGCGAGACTCATTGAAAAATAAATCTGTTTATCGTAAAAAAATAAATTTGAAAATAATGGAGGAAATATTGACCTTTGTAAAAAAAGTTCTTTAAATTAAAAATTGAAAAAAGGGGTAAAATAATCCAGAAAAAATGCTCCGAGTAAAATAAAATCGTACGGATATTTCCCCGACAAGGCTTCCACAAATTCAGCCAATTTTAGGATTTGCTCCCAAAAATAAAAGGACAATAATTGGGCAATACATAAGCGATAAACGAAAACCAACATAAATAAATACAAATATAAGAAAGATAATATTAATTACACAATAGACACTTATTTGTGAAACTTATTAAGTATTTTAATTATATAATTTATATTATACAGTATTTTTAACAAAAACTAAACCCCACTATTTTTGGTTTTGTTTCCACCTCCACCACCAGAATTACCAAATCCACCTGTTGCAAAAGCATCATTTGCAAAACTATCAAAACTGTCGCCTTCTCTCCAGCCTACCATGTCGCATAAAGAAATAAAATAATTAGAAAATAACTGAAAAAAAAATTTGAAAATTATGTAAAAATATGAGTTAAGCGCGAATAAAAATTGGGATAACATTTGGTCCCATTTTAAATTAATTTTTTTCGGTTAAATTTAAAGAGTATTTTATAATATACCCCCGCTCTTCAACACCCTAATTTTAGTACTGTCCTAACTCTTTTTAAATAATTTCCAACGATTTATGTAAAGCCAGTTTTTGTCTTTGATTATTGGTTTTAAATAATGTTAATTATTTTCTTTATTTTTCTATTTATGAATATCGTTGTTCCATTTTTTGTCTAGGGTTTTTAGGGATGCGTATATTTTTTGGGAGCCAAACTTCAGCTTTG